CTCTAGAGCCATTTCTCTTGTCAACCCTAAAATGGATTTCTTAATTAAGATATCTTCTTCCCTGCTCCCATATCCCCTCTTCCTCCATCTCAACCATCTCATTCTCCCAAGCTCTCCCCAATCATCCCCTTCTCTATTCTCTCTCCCCATCTCCCCTCACCCCCACCAAATCCCCGCCCCTATGCTCCCCACTTTTGTCTGGCAATCTTGTCTACTTCCAATATCCAGCAGAATAAATATATGTTTTTCTTTGGGTTCACCTTATTATTTAGCTTCTCTAGGATCCCAAATTATAGGCTCAATGTCCTTTGTTTATGGCTAGAATCCACTTATGAGTGAGTACATACCATATCCCTTCCTAGATTTGGATGAAGTGGGGAGGGCCTTTGACTTCCCACAGGGCAGGGCACACTGGTTTCTCTTAGGACTAGAGGGGGAGGGGGAGCGGTGAGAGAGGGAGGGAAATAGGAGGAAGTGAGGGGGTGAAAATTTTTAATAAGTAAATAAATTTTAAAAACCATTGGATATAATTTAATAACAGTTGTTTGTAATTTTGAGTGCTTTTCTAGATAAGTTGGGGTCTGTAAAGTAATCTTTTCCCTTCATATAACTCAATTAAATTATTCTTCTGTAAAACAATAAATAAAAAACATATAGAACTAATAAGCAAGGAAATTAAATAATTGAAAGCTGACAATGGAATTTTAACAGAGTAATCATTTTGATTGGCACATTAGGATTGCTGTTATACCATGAATATTCATGGACATGTTGCACAGAACACCAAAGGAGACACTGAGTCTCAGATTTAAAAAGCAAAACATGCAAACCTTTAGAAAGATAATCATAAAACATCGTAAAAGGGAAAGCATCTATGAACCCTCAAATGCTTAATCAAAGCACTAGAAGGTAGTTCTTTGAATTCAAAGTCAACCTGGCCCCCAAAGTGCATGTCAGGGCAGTCATGGCTACAGAGAAACTGTCTTTGGCGGATATGCTTTCTTGCTCAGCTTTCCGTGCTGTGGTCAGGTAGATGCATCGAGCCTCCTACAACATCCTGTAAGTTTTATTCTGGCTTTGCCTCTTGATAACTGAAGCAGCACCATGCTGTCTGTGCACCTAAATCATATGTGTACTGGTGAGTCCTGCTGGGAATGAAGGGGGTGCAATAACAGGGTGGAAATATCTCATGGGAGGCTAGATCTTTCCACAGAAGAAACACTGGCTTCCGTGGTTGATATTGGTGTATGAGTTCATCGTAATGAAGTGAGCTCTGACTCTACTGTACAGAGATCCAACAGGGACAGGGGTATCAGATCGCTAGGCTGTTGGAATGAGATAGATCATCCATCATGAGATTTTCTTTCCAGGCTTCATCCTACTCCTGAGGACTTTGGCACAAGCAGGTGAGTCCAGCCTCAGCCATGAGATACTATTACCCATGCCAATAGAGAAGATTCATTCTAACAGGAGAGTAGGCATCACGGTGTGTTGTCTCGTGGAATCTGTGAGTGATTCTTTGGTTAGTCTCCTGAACTGTGAAGTTAGTACCTTGAAAACACACCTCTCAGTCCTGTTCCAGATTGTACCGGACACTGCCCCTGGCTCAGTTAGGCATCAATTTTGATCAGACAAACATTTTTGGGTTTTTTTAAGACAGGGTTTCTCTATGTAGCTCTTACCATCCTAGAACTCACTTTGAAGACCAGGCTGCCCATGAACTCATATATTCACCTGTCTCTGCCACCCAAGTGCTGGGATTAAAAGAGTGTATATAACTGGGCAGTGGTGGCCACTTCTTTAATTCCAGCACTTGGGAGACAAAGGCAGGCAGATCTCTGTGAGTTCGAGGCCAGCATGGTCTACAACAGCTAGTTCCAGGACAGGCTTGAAAGCTACAAACCCTGTCTTGAAAAATCAAAATAAAAATATTAAAAGAGTGGGCCATAATCCTGAAGAATAATCAATACTTTTAAATAAAAAATAGTCTTCCCCTTTCTACACTCTTACCTGACCATCACCACTTATTTTTGATATTATAATGCTATAATTTATTACCTTTTAAATATGTGTGTCACTTGACAAGCCATTGAAGTTATTTTTGTCTTCAAACAACTTTGCTACAGATAGAATTTGTGTATCACCAGCACACTGTTGACACATCTCATTTTTGCCTGCTTTACTGAGCTACTGTTACTTTCTCCACATGAGGATGTCAGGTCACCCATTACCAGCCTTTCTTTCTGCTTGACGATCTTCACAGCATTTCCAATGTTTATAATGATGAACTCTTGTCTGCTACTGTTTTTCTGAGAAAATCATTATCTTGATTTCTGAAAGACAGTGTTGCTTATATTTATAGGTAGGGTTTTTCTTTTCTCTACTGACTTCGTTGAATACATCATCATGAACTCTTGTGAATTGTAGGTCTTCCATTAGCTGTAATTAGAAGTTCCTTATAGGTTCTTTGCTTCTCTTATTATTGTGATTTCAGGATCTCTTATGATAATAATATGTTCTGTGATCATGATCGTTTGGATTGAATTTCTTTTTTACCATTTGACCTTCTTGGACCTGACCATGTTAATTTTACTCCAAGTTCAAGAGTTTTCTATTCTTTCTTCTCTACATTTTTGTTTATTTTAATTAGCTGTTTTTCCTTTCTTTTGTTAATTCTTTGATAATTTAATACAATGTATTTAATTATATGCATCCTCCGGTGTAACATCATCCTAGTTTCACTCCACTAGACACTAAAGAGAACCTCTGTGTTCCTTTACTCTTTCTTGAACTTCTGACTGATAATTTGGTATTGAGATTCACTCAAAAATATCCTGACATTTTTCTTTATTGAATTTTCATTCATTTCTGCATTTGCCCATCAGATTTCATAAAGCCTGACCTAAGCACATTCATTCTCTTATCATATTTACTATTGAAATAATCTATTAACTTTGTAAATTTTTGCATTTATCTGAGTTTTACCCATGCGCACATAACTCACGTTTTTGTGTGTGCCTGTGTGTTTATGTTTGTGTGTGTGTATGTGTCTGCGTCTGTATGTGTGTGTTGGGTGTGCATTTGCTATGACACAACTGTGAAAGTGAAGGAAAACTTCTGGAATCAGTTTCTCTTTTCACCATGTGGGTCCCAGCAATGGAAACCAGAGAGTCAGGCATGGCAGCAACAGCTTTACCTCCTTAAACATCAAGCTGGTCTACAAGTTTGTCCAATTCAGTAGTTGTATGTTTTGCTTAAGAGAGATGTTGCCAAAATTTTTATGTTGTTCAATGATTTGCTTCCAAATTTTATAAAACATTTTAATCAGAGTTAATTTTTTATAGTTAGATACCACCTTTTTGTTTTATAAAAGACTGTTCTCTTTAATTTAATTTCTTGAGACTTTCATACATGAGTAGTTTATTTGCATCATTTCTACCCATTTGAATATATCCAAAGAACTTGATACCCTATGCCATGGATACTTCCCCAGTAATGTTTCTTGCTGTTCTATTCTCAAGAACTAAGACAAGGAAACTATCTAGATGTATTTCAAATGATGAATGGCTAATAAAAATGTGTCACATACACACTCTGTAATACTAGTCAATGGTAAGTAATAACAAAACCATGAAATTTTTAGAAATATAAATGATTAGAAAGTATTTTACTGAGTAAGATTACATAGACCATAAAAAATGCCACATTTTCTCTCTTATGTCATGTTCCTAGCTCCGAAACTTTATTCATGATATCTCATAATTCTGTAATTGTTTTAAAAATGCTACAGTGAATTATCTGTTATGGGCTTCATAAATCTTCCTTTCCGCTGTATTTACTACCAAAGCCTCAGCATTGTTCTCTGGCATGTTTGACTTCTCTGATTTTCATACGCAAGTATTTACACAAAGAACCTTCATATTAAAGAGAACTATTACTTCTGTCACATGCAGATGTTCTATGGATGTTAATAGATGTTTACTATTAATTCTCACCTGAGAATAGATTTGGGTAAATTGGATGCAACCCTGGACAGGATAGCATTGATGTCAGTTTCCCATGTTTCACTATCTCGCTTCCTCAGTTTTCAGATCAGATGCTTTTGGTAGCTGGGTTTCCTGGTACAGTAAATTACTGGCCACTTATCACAATCAGGAACAGGTTTTCACTGGGGTACTTGAAAGCCTCTGCCTGCGCAGTGTTTCAAGATGTCCACACAGGTTGGTGTCTATATGGTCTACTGTCTCTTTTCTCAGAAACATCTCCCATGTGGATGCAAAAGAATGACCAAGATTCATGGGCTGGCAATCATGAGTCCAAATAATTTTTATCAACAAGTGACTGAAGAGGCAGAACAATGCTGTTCTCTCAATGTTCCACATGCCAGGAGCCTGAAATGGTTAAGAAACTAAATGTCTGTGTCTAACTTGTCACTCAGTGTAGAAACATGAGCCGATGTGACCTCTGTGAATGAAGCTCTGAGTAGTACAAAGGATTCATTCCTCCTGTTTGTTGTTAATTTTCTCGGTTCGGTGGTCCTGGGGACTGACTTCCCTCACGGCTGAGATATTGAACATTCACAATGTATTTCTAATTCAGTATTGTTAAGTTTCTAGAGTCTATGAAGGTGAGTCAAAAACACTCCTTTTTTATAACTTCTTGGCCATAATTCCAATCTGCCTTTTCACAAATGAATCTTTTCCTCAAATCCTCTGATATAATTTCCTCTTAAATTACATTTTTTCACAACTAAATCTACTTCATTATTTAATACTTACTCAAAATTCTCAATTAACATATCATAGCATAGAAAGATATTCCATATGTACATGGTAGCTGGGTGACACACAAGACATGAAAATGACACTTTTTGTTTGAGACTTTCCTTGGAAAGATATAACACAGGCAATTCTGGTAACCCCGTAAAGGAAACCCAGGACAGACCAAACAATGATTGCATCAATATCCAAATCTTTGAACTTGTTTTTTTTTCTCTGAAGGACTTGTACATCTATTGAGATTACTAATAGCAGTATGGATACGGGTTTAATCGCTGAAACAAGGGATGACTCAAAAGCATTACTGAAAACACATCTCAATATGGGTGATTTTTATGAAAGACAAAACCATGGAGCTCCCTGCACAACTTTCTGGCAGCTGAATGGGTCTTGGATATCTCCTTTTAGAATTCAGCAGGAAAAGTAACTTACAGTTTCTATCGAGCAGGAAGGGCCACTGGTGAATCTTGCAAGTTTCAGCCCTCAAATATATTAATGTTTGTTTACCTCTTGAGTTCCCTGTGCCTTTAAAGCTCTAACATTGAAACAGAGATGTTTCAGTTCAGAGAAAAGAGTCAAACGATGGACCCTGAAGAAGTAAAATTTGGAGACACTGATCTCAGGAATGAAGGTGAATCACTAAATATTTTACTCTGTGTATCTTCTACAGGAATTAATGCCAAACCTTCACTGTCTGCCTGGCCAAGCAATGTTGTTCCTCAGGGACAGAATGTGACCCTCACTTGTGACACTCACAACAAGTTTAACATAGTCATGCTGTACAAAGAGCATGGGGATCCAAACCTTCAGGTCCATAAAAAAATGTTCCGGAGGAGTCTTCTCTTGGGGCCTGTGACACCAGCATTTGGAGGAACCTACAGATGCTATAGTTATAAACATCAATACCATACTGAACTCTCATCACACAGTGAGCCTCTGAAGATCATAATTTCAGGTCAGAGATCATGTTTGCTGTGCCTTTTCATTCTCCCAAACCTCCCCATAGGAGAATTTTTAAAATGAGTTCTAGTCAGAATCTCAGCATTATAAAGGAATATGCTACACATGCAATTGGAAAATATTGTGCTGTTACCAGGGTCAAATAAGTGGGAAATGGTCCATAGAAAGATGGAGGAGTCTGTGTACGAGCAGACATAAAAAATGAAAAGGACACTGGGATACTGATAAAAAGAACAGATTAAGGGGAAAATAGCATAGGATTTCTGGGATACATAGATTGATAGTAGGTTCGTGCTCACAAACTTTTTATTCCTAGGAATCTACAAGAAACCTTTCCTCTTGGTCCTACCAACTCCTCTGGTAAAATTAGGAGAGAAGACCACATTGAAGTGCCACTCAGAGATTATGTTTGACATTTTCATTTTGACTTCACATAGAATGGGAATAAACAAGGACTCTTATCAGCTCTCTGCAGAATATCATTTTGGAGGATCCAATGCCAACTTCCCAATAGGACCCATGACACCTGAGCATGCTGGGACTTACACATGCTATGGTTCTTACAAGCATACACCATATGAGTGGTCTGAATCCAGTGACCCTGTTGACATAAAGATCACAGGTAAGAGGGTGTTACCTGGTCACCAGCCTCTCTGTGATGAGAACAGTTATTATATAGACAGCATGTCCTAGATGAGTATGAGAAGCTTAGAGAAAGGCAGACTTGGAGAGCATATTACTGACATAGATGATAAAAACAGAGATACAAGAACAAACCATTGGTTGTAACATAAAGCACAGATACAGGGATGTCAAAGGAATCATACCTAGAGATAAATAGAATGGAACAGCTCTTTGAGACTAATATGTATCAGAAACAATGGCATCCTTCTACTAATGTTCAAAGGCCTAGAAGTTTATAATTTTGTTAGGCTTCTCCCTCTAAAAGGCATCTGTCAGAAGACCTAGACATATAAGTCTGATCTGTATTCATGTGCCAAATGCGGTTGATTCTTCATGGGTCCTGAGGTCTTGGTACAGAAGGCACCCATAGAATTTCTGTCTGGTTTGACAGTTCTTCCATGCTTGTATTTGACTAACTATTCATCAAAGAATAGCATAACCCTAGGTAATTAAGTAGACCACCAGTCTGTCTGTTCTCTATATTTCCAAAATGTTGTCAGCCCATGTTTCAAATTCATTCACACATTCTAGGATTGGTGAAAAAATCCTATAGTGGTTCCCCCCTGGAATAGACATATGCAAATAATATAGAGGCATGAACATATGTTGTAGGGAAAGGGGCCCCTATGGTGTAGGAGGTCCTTTTGTATTTGTATTGCTTTCCTTGGTTATTAAAGAAACTGCCTTGGCCTAGTTGATAGGGCAGAACTCAGGTAGTCGGGGAAGACAGAACAAAATTCTGGGAAGAAGGGCAGAGTGGCAGATGCTATGAATCTCTGGCCTGAGACCGACATAGGTTAGAATCTGGCCAGTAAGCCATAGTCACATGGTGATACACAGATTTAATAGAAATGGGTTAATCAAGCCGGGCGGTGGTGGCGCACGCCTTTAATCCCAGCACTCGGGAGGCAGAGGCAGGCGGATCTCTGTGAGTTCGAGACCAGCCTGGTCTACAAGAGCTAGTTCCAGGACAGGCTCCAAAACCACAGAGAAACCCTGTCTCGAAAAATCCAAAAAAAAAAAAAAAGAAATGGGTTAATCAAGACGTGAGGGTTAGCCAATAAGAGGCTAAAGCTAATGGGTCAGGCAGTAATTTAATTAATACAATTTCTGTGTGGTTCTTTCTGGTGTAAACTAGCCAGGAGGGGTGAAAAACAGGCCCTCTCTCCTTGCAACAGAAATATATACAAACAGGCAGACTGAGAGAAAGATTCAAATACTGAGGAAATAGTAAGCATGGCATGTGTGGGAAGAAAAAAATCTGCAAAATGTTTTAAGCTTAATATTGGGTATTTCAAAGCAGAAATAGGGAGCAAATGGTACAATACACTTGAGCAGTAAACACACTATGAGAACCAAGGGAGGGAAGTTCATCATGGCCCCTGTTCAAGGAAACAAACACATTCATGGGATATTATGTCCTTTGAAAAGAGAGATCCATTAACACAGATATGGGGGGAAAGGCAAGATATAAAATTAATTACTTAGAATGAAGTCAGATTCTACATTTTTAATATACATAGGATGAGGAAGTTATAAGTCATGAAATTGGGAACAAACCATGAGAAGGGGAAGGATATTAAGAAAGTGGAATGGAAAAGAGAAGAAATACACACGACATGGAAGGGGAAATGAGGGGGAAGGACCAGCTAAGGTTGTATAAGGGAAGCGATTAGGAAGAAAATGTACAAAATGAACTGTCTGAGAATGTCTTAATGAAGTTCATTGCTTTATATCTTAATTAAAACAAAATAATAAGTATCTCTAATTAACCCAGTGATTGACAAAACATTTGGAAAAACTGAAAGTATAAAGAACAATGGGAAAAGGAATGAAATCAGTGGAAATCGATAGAGAAGAAGGAATGATAGCATAAATATGACCAAGATTACATATATAAACATGTAACAACACTTAAAAAAAGAAGTGACAAAATTATGTAATTATACGTTAACTTCAAATTTTTAATGAAAACAAATATAAAATGCACTAGTTGAATGTTTCATAATAAATCCAATTACTACATAAATTAAATATCTGTTTTATAAAAACAAACTTAAAAAGAAAGATGATATGAACTAATGAATATCAAGGCAGAAACGGTCAAAAAGTGAGAACTGAAATAAAATATATCGGTATAGGATTGCAGTCAGAGATGAGTAAGGTAATTTAGAAGAAAAGAAGGAGATGGGAAAGAAAGGGATGTAGTGAAGGGAAAGATAAATGAGAGATCACAGAAATAGAAGCAGGGAGATAGATCACTGAGGAGTGACTGAACACTGGTAAGGAACTCCTCCTCCACTGTCTCTACCTCCTTCCTTCTAGGTTTGTACAAGAAACCTTCCTTGTCTGCCCTGATGGGAACTGTGGTGACATCAGGAGAGAACATGACCTTGTCCTGCATCTCTGAACATCAGTTTGACGTGTTCCATCTGTCCAGGGAAGGGGTGCCTCTGGGACATGGGTTACCTGCAGAGCAGAGCCACAGTGGAACATTCCAGGCCAACTTCCTTTCTGTTCCTTTGATCCAGGCAGAAACGTATAGATGCTATGGTTCCTTCAGGAACTCTTCCCATGTGTGGTCATCCCCAAGTGACCCATTGTACCTTTCTGTCTCAGGTAAGAAAGTCATCTTATATGTATCTCGTATCTTGTGACTAAGGAGATCCTAATGAAGCCATGTCTGAGAACCATTTACTGGTGATAGAGAGACTCAGTAACATACACATATACATAATATGTGTGTGTATACAAAAAAATATTAATCAGACAAAAAGGCTATCAATGTAAGGGGTGTATGGAAAAACCTGGAGGAAGGATACCTGAGATGTGCTGAAGAGATTAAAAGAATAAGAAAAGAGATACAATTACATTTCATTTAAGAAGTTTTTTAAAAGATATAGAGTTTAAGAATGAATATCAAATTACAAAATAATAGATAAGAAGCCTCTCAAACAATCCTTATCCTGATCGGTCAGCCACACTGAGATGTGTATGTATCCATAGAGAATAAGAAAAAGGTCAGGACAGACTCATTAAGGATAAGATTGCAATCAGTTTGGACAGATCACAGAAGGAGCAGCCTCCTGTTCTCTCCCTCACATAGCTCTCTCCACAGTATTCCTATTGACTCATCACAATGTGAAATAAACACCTCAAAGCAAATCACATAATGGCATCCTATGATTCTAAAGGCTCAGCGCTAAGAGGTGGAGTAGGTGCTGCTTACTCTCAAATTTAAAGGACTTTGCATGTGGGGAATGCACATAGCCTTTTGATAAACTATTACCCTCTCCTCTCCTCTTCCCTAGTAAACTCATCAAGAAATTTCACTTCATACACTGAACCAGACTCCAAAACTAGTGAGTAATTTTCCCCTTCTCTATTGTGGAAACTTGGGGACCAAATGCTCTTGGACTCATATTTTGACTTGCCTTCTTCACATCTTAGTAGTCTTAACATCATCATCTCCTCTCTCTTATTCTTAAACTCTACAACTCCAGAAGTTTTTAGGAGCATCATGGGAACTGTACCTGAGATCTCCTACAAGTAAAAGGAAAAACAGATTTAGCCCACTTCCAGGAACAATGAAGTGCTCTTTCTAGCTCAGTTTTTCCTGGAAAGAAGATCATAGAGCCTGAAAAAGGAAGCAAGCAAGCAGAAAGGACAGTTTTATAAAAAGATATTACCTGTGATAGACTACACTAGACTTTACTTTAGCCCTTTGGAAGAATTAATAGTTTGATTCAAGAGGGTTGTAGATGTAGAAGTTGCTAACCAGAT